TGCTGCTGCCTCTACTGGTCTATGAGAGAGATTGAGAGCTTGGGATTTGGTGACATTTGAAGACCAAAAGAGTGTAGTGAAGAGAGAAAATTGTTACATACGGGTACATAGAGTGAACGAATAGAGGGGTTGAGATCACAGGCTTGTGGGGCTAGACACTAGAGGGTTGGCCAATTCTTTCTCAAAGAAGTTGCCACCAAATTGAATTCTTGTTTGAAAAATTGGTGAGCTGTAAACAAAATTAAAGAACCCGCAGCAATCTACCTCTACGTGTGTGACGGCCAGGAGAGGTCTAAAGACATTGATATATATATATATATATATATCATTTTCAGTCTTGTATAATATAATTGTGGGCTTTCGTTGAGGGCTTATTGAAGATGATCTGAGCCACACACTGTTAAGCAATATTTAGATCTTACTTGTAGAATTGTCCTGCAACAAACCTAGTCTATTAGAAAACAATTTAACTATATTTGATTATCACCAAACTTATTTTAAGATTTAGGGCTCGTTTGGGAATGATTCTAGATAGGTCATAATCACTTCTGGGAAGAACCATCTCCTATGTGATTCTCCATATAATCACTTAAGTGATTTTAAGTGATTCTGAGCAAAAACACCTCCCTTGTACTTCTCCATAAAATCACTTAAAACTGCTTAAAGTGATTATTTGGAGAAGTAATTCTCCATAGAATTGCTTTTTGTCTTATCAAGAATCACTCCCAAACGAGCCTTTACTCTTTGTTCGTTTATATATTTGACCACAATAAATGTTTTATTGTTTTTTGACTTGTTTAAATATTTCCAAGGATCGACGATTCTTGATTGTAGACTTGAAAATTTGACAATTTATATCATTGAATTGGAATACGAAATAGGCCTACAATGTGTCCCTCAAATAACCTTATGTAACCGACTATAACAATAGAATTAGAAACTAACTAAATATGCTATCAATCACTAAATCGAAATAATGTTTTAACTGATTATGTTGTGAATATTTTAATTTTTAATCAAGCATGCGTGACAAACTATAGCAAGCAAAGCAAGATTAGAAGCCAAAATAGATACTAAATTTTTTTTCTCTTTTTTTTTTAGAGGAAGAAGGTACTAAATCTTTACAAACATAATATTGTAGAGTTTTCAAGCATAACGGGTGTAAATAATATATTGAAGAACTGAACATAAAACTTTGCATCAGGTCTTATTTTATTTGCAAGGTCAGAGATTAATTAGAGTTGTAGTTGGTAATGCCACCAAAAGATACATAAAAGTTAGACTAAATAAATATTTCAAATTACCTAGGAGTTGCATATTACAATTAGTAAATTATGTTGTCGTTCAAACAAGATGTTTTTTTTTATAAGGATACAAACAAGATGTTGGGATGCCAAAAGGAGACTGCGATCTGGATTTTAGCTTTCGAAAGGAGGATGCTAAAAGATAATTCTAATGACTTGACTTGTATGTTTGTCCTTATCAGAATATTTAAGTAATTTCTATCGAATGACCTCGTTATTAGTTGATTTGGCCTCTATGATTACTCTAATTGGAGCATTTGAATTAATCAATCTCACTGCAGGAGACTATATTGTATTTTAAAGTAAATGTGGTATAAATATTAATTAAATATACATACATTATTAATTGAATATATATGCAAATTTGAGAATGGTCATTTAAAGAAAAATACTTAACTCATTGTTATTTCGGTGTGACGATCACAATCCACTGATGTTATAATACATATGTTTATATATTAATACAATACACTATGCTCTTGAAATATTAGCAACAAAATTATAATATGTGGATTCGTAACAACATGTGGTGGTGCGTGTGACTATTATAATAGAAAATTTCTCCGCATGAGTCATTCCTCATGTCGATCAACATTTCACACGTCTATGCAAAGTTTTGTTTATGTTTTTTAACTACGATTTGCCGGTAAAGGGCTTAAGAATGTTGATCTAATTCTAATATAAGGACAAGGAGTCAAGGACGATTGCCATAAATGATCCAACTGCTAAAGTTGATTAATATGAGGACGAGTAAATGATTTCAGTCTCGTATATAGTTTGATTTTGTGATCATTTGAGAAGTTGGAGTTCAAAAATTTATAGGTTACTTTTTCCTCGTCGAAGGAATATGGCGCTGACAAGAATGTAATCTTTTATCATTCCATGTTACTGGAACTGGAATTGAAGCTCATGGCATCATTGGCATGGGCGACTTTGACTGGTAGTTGGATGTTTCTGTGTTGTAAATGACCATCTCCATTGTCATCGTTTTTGTCCCATACCGCCGATCACCTGCCTTGTCGATGGGGTGTCAATAATTGTTCTTTTACGTTGGCAAATTACAAACGTATATGCTTACGCACTGCAACTAAACGACATATATCGAAAAAGACTCCTAAGTCATGGAAATTCAAGATTATAAGTTCATTCCCTAGATATTATGTTAATGATCAAATTGATGAAAATTGGGTGAGAATGATTTTCATAAACGAATATTCAATAGCTTAGTCAATCAATGAGGGCTCCACAACAAGGGAAAGTTGATTTGGGGCAATTTACTGGCTGTAGAGTAAGGGATCCAATGGATTGTTCACAAAAAACAACCTTAAATTCCAAAAAAAAATATTTTTCATTCCACTCCTTTTAACTCCATATATGTCTCTTTGACTGTTAGTTGGGGTTTTGTTCAAGCCCTCGTGTATGTTATATTCTCAGCCCTTTTCTTTGGTATTTATTTCTCAGCCTCATATTTGTTCAAGCCCTCATATATGTTGACTCCGTATATGTCTTCTTGTTTTATTTTCTGATGGGAATCAGTTCGCCACGAGTATAGAATAGAGACTTGGAAGTCAATGATATGTCTTTGTCCAGGTTGTGCAAGGGAAATTGAATGAAAGAACGTCATGTCTTCTTCGAATATACAAAGAAGATCCAGAGTTTGGGTGGCATGCACACAACATAAAAAAGTAAGTGTGTTCAGGTGTTTGGTGTACTTCCAAATAATCTTGCATTCAAGTCCCAATAATATCCGTGTGTGCGAATTTCTACCCTCCCCTTTCTAACTTTTGGCCAAAGAAAGCTTCAAGTTCATTAGCCAAACAAGACTGATAGAATTGGTTATCTTTCTTTCATTTTTTTGGGTTAGAAAGGTTTGGAATGCCAGTAAACAGCTCCCTTCTTTAATTAAGGAAAGAAACACCAACAAAATTATAAATATTTGAATCCATGTACAAGGTAAAACTAATTTGTTTTATTATAAAATTATGATAATAAGTGAATTCAGTAAAAGAAAGAAAACAACCACCACCCCCAGGCAAAAATTGGGATAGCCAAAAGAGAAAAGGGAGACTTTGGAAAAAGCAAAAGGAGAGAGAAATTTTTTAAAAGAAGCCAAATGGACAAAATTGCCCTAATTTATTTTTAAATTTCCTAAGGAATCCTTTATATTTGTATGTCTTTGATTTGAAAGTTGAGAGGTTTTTCTGTCTTTTTTGAAAAAGCTTTGGTTTTTTCCAAAAGTGAAATTTTTTTTATGGCTAAAACCTAAATTTACTAAGAGAAAATGCATACAAGCAGGGCAACAGGCCCAACACAAGAAGGCCAACATCAGCCTCAAAGGCTAGGAGAAACATACTAATAGCAAAAAGAAACCTAAGTCATATTACATCAACAACTCACAATCAGACTAACAAGGAAGGAATATAGGTCAAGTTTGGGATTGCTGTCACTTTTAAAAAAAAGTTGCTTCTGTTGTGCTTTGAAAATAATTACCTATAAAGTAAGGCAGCTCCATGTTTGGTAAACAATATTTTTAAAGTGATGTTAGTACAAAAAACAGTGTAAAAAACGTTTGGTAAATTTGAATATAAAATTATGTAAATAATGACTAAAATAGACATGATATTGAAAGTGTTATGTACTAATCATGTGGTGATAGTGATGGTAATGGAGTGGAGGTGGTGGTGGTGGTGATGAAGGTGGAGTTGGTGGTGGTGGAGGTGGTGGAGGAGGAGGATGTGGTGGTGGTAGTGGTGGCGGTGGCGGTTGTTGTGTATGTAGTGAATGTGGTGGTGCAAGTGGTGGAAATAGAGGTGGTGTCATTTTATAAAATGAATTATGGTATTTTGGTAATTAAAAAAATCCATTAAAGGTTCATCTCTGCTTATTTTGAAAGCAACTTTGAAAAGCAACCTAGAACCTGCTTTTAAAAGTTGCTGCCAAAAAGCCACTGCTTCCAAAATAATCGGGATATTTTATTTTTACCAAACATCTTAAACTGATTAACTTTAAAGTGAAGCAAGTTTTTGGCGGAAAAAAAAAAAACAGTCCCAAACGGGCCCATAGGCATACTAGCAAAAAGCAGAGGTAGCCAATAGCAGCAAGTGGCAGAAGCCTTCAAACCACTGGAAGGCAATGGAAAACAGCCAAAGAAAGCAGAAGAGACCTCCAGCAAAACTGGAGCCAACAATTACCAATCTATGTTCATTTAGTATCTCTGTTCAACACTTTAACAAAATTTGTGGTATCGCTATATCCATATCATGTCGTAACTCTTGTTCTGTACCAGCTCACTAGAGATAATCAGGCAACCATCATATTCTGATACCTCTGTGGCACTATTGTCACTTCTCATTACCTGATAATAAGAAATTGCATATCAGTCTCCAAGTCTAAATTGATTGAAACTATCATTTTATAATTCAAATTAGACATGAGATAGTTGGACAAAGAAATCACTAACACTTTGAATGGAAAAGCGGCAAACAATTACTGCTGAGCTGAGATCACTGGTTTGGAAGTTGCCTCCTTTGCTATTTGAATTTGAGCTCTCTGTGCCTGTTCACAAAAAGTTCAATTACACAGAAAGTGCCAAAAGGACCGTCTTTCACAGGATCACCATTTGAACTATATATTACCTCTTTTTCCCAATC